GTGTGTGTGTGTGTGTGTGTGTGTGTGTGTGTGTGTGTGTGTGTGTGTTTTGTTTTGTTTTGAGAGGAGGCTGCAAGGGCAGAATGTGGATTCGAGGAAACAGGGAGGTAAGGGGGATCTGAGCACATGAGATGAAATCCACAAAGAATCAATAAAATTTTTATAAAAGATTAAGCATGCCAAACGAAAAAAGAAAAATCACTAATAATATAGATAAAAAGTTTGCTTTGTAGATTTTGTTTGCTGAACTGACTTCTTAAATATTTCTGCCTTCCCATGATACCTTGTTTATTCATTCATCAGGCAATGTGTATTGATATTAACACCACCTACTAAGATGCAAAGCTGTCATCCAGCTAGTCACAGATCCTGCCCTCACAGAGCGCATGGTCAAGTAGAAGGCACCACACAGAAAGTTAAGAGCTGACAGTTCAGTATTGGAGCCACATAAAAAATAAGGTGCAAGATGTCAAGGAGATGCTTAGAGGAATGGTTCATCCCAGGGTCTCCTAGGGGAAGTTATTAGAAATGAATCCAGAAATTCCTTACCAGGTAAAGACTCAGCCCAAGAGTCATGGGGAGGGAAGTCTATATTCCAGGCAGGGAAAGAATAAGTGAACAATATCCATGAGGTTGCAGCAATCTAGTCCCCTTCTGCGCATTAGGAGCAACACGGTACAGCTGGGTTTTGCAGTATGAAGGAGGAAAAAAAATGGGAAAGCAGTTGGGTCAGTGAGGAACCTTGACCCCGAAATTCAAATCCACATTCCTAACACAGAGAAGAGCCATAGTGAGGCTTTGGGGGTTGAAACATTATTCTTTGAGTTATGTGGGAAGAGTCGGATGGACACACATTCAAAACATGTAGGACAACCCAAGACAAAGTCTGAGAATCCCTGAAAACGAAGGCTTGGCACACACAGGTTTTACTTTCGCACTGATAAGCTCAAACAACTCAGTTTCAACAAAATGTGTTGGAAATGCGAGACTGAAAATGTTCACCATGCTTCTCGCTGGTTGGTGTTCACGGTGACCATCTATCTGCCTACAAGAAGCTCTGCTGCACTTTGGACAAACCACTACAGAATTTCACCTCAAGGCCAGCCTGAGGCACATAGGAGTCCTAGGCCAGATGGAGCCCCTGTTCCACTGGCAGAACAATGGAAAAGAGAACATTGCATGTGACTGCAAATGAGTGATGGCTCGTTTGTGGAGACTAAAAACTCCATAAATAGAAAGTAGCATAAATTTTAACTAGAGACTAAAAAGGCAAGAAAAAGAAGAGGAATGGGAAATGAACCGCGAACCCCAGCTTGATGGGGAACTGTTCTAATGTATGGTGGAGCAGAATGGCCATGGTGTACCATTTACTACAAAGTAGCCAGAAAAGTTGGAAGTTTTCTGATACATACAAATGGTAACATTCAAAAACAGGTGAGGAGGTTCACCTGTAGTCCCAGCACTTGCAATGCTGAGGCAGGAGAATGTCCATGACTTTAAAACAGCCTAAGCTACAAAGTAAGTAGCAGGCCTGCCTAGGCTGCAGAGTGCAATTCCTGTCTCCAAAAACCAGGGAAGGAGGGCTAGAGAGATGGCTCAGTCGTTAACACACACACTGCTCTTGCAAGGACCTAAGTTCAGTTCCCAGAAGCCAAGTTGGGCAGCTCACGATCACCGAAAACTACAGCTCCAGGGGATCTGATGCCCTTTTCTGGACTCTGTGGGCACCCATACGCACAGGGGGAAATACCCACATGCACATTCGTGTGATTTAAAATAAAATAAATCTTTTTAAAAGGATAATGCTTCAAAGTAGATCTATAGCCTGGTGGTTAATTCGGCGCCTAGAATGCGAAGGTTTGGGGTTTATCCAGTTATCTGCGCTAGGGAGGAAAGAACACTAGAGGAGATTAAAAGGGTAATTCCTCTGTTCTTTATTTGATAGATTCACATACTATGCATATATCACACTTCAACACCATATCTTTTTAATAAGAATAAATAATACATCAACTGAAAACTTTGAAATTAATATTTTTAAATGAAGACTTGGCCACTGTGTCAATCAGATTTCTTTAACGGTGACAAAAGCCTGGCATAATAAAGTTTTAAAGATCCCCGGTACTCACATGAAAGCTGGGCATGGAAGCATTCATCTGTAACCCCCGCCCTGGGGAGGGCAGAAGCAGACAGCTCCCAGGATCTTGACAGTCTGTCGACCTAGCCTAATCAGTGAGCTGCAGATTCAGGAGACAGCTCGCAGAGCTTCAAGTGGACAGTAACTGAGGAAGACGTCTAAAGCCAACCTCTTTCAGCTACGCACGTGAGTGCGTGCATCGACATACATACACAAGTTTAAAATGCAAAATAAAACTTGGTGAAAATATAAACCTGTTTTATTTTGGCTCACTCTTCTGGAGGTTATTATGATCCCTTGGCCCATTGTTTTGGGGTCTGCAATGAAGAAACACAGCATTGTGGGAATACCAGACAAAAATACTCTCACTGTCCGGGGAGCAAAGAGACAGAAAAGCTGGAGTCCCACTATCCCCTTCAAAACATAGGCTCAATGGCCTAAGACCTCCCAGTAGGTATCCTCCTTCTAAAGGACCTCTCACTTCCTGGAATGCCTCAAACTGGCGAGCAAACCTTTAATCGTTAATAGGCCTAGAGAGGACTCTACGTCCAAGCAGCTACAACCACCAGGGTAGAGGCGACCTCAACTTCCTTCGATCTTGAGATATTTTGATACATTTAAAAGTCAACCAAAGCTCTTTTGGGACTTGGCTCCAAGATGACCAAAAAAAGCCAGAAAGGGCCGCGGCCATGTGCAGCCAATTCGCTGCACTAACTGCACCCGCCGCGTGCCCAAGGACAAGGCCATTAAGAAGTTCGTCATTCGGAACATCGTAGAGGGCACCGCCCTCAGGGACATATCCGAAGCAAGTGTCTTCGACGCTTATGTGCTCCCCAAACTCTATGTCAAGCTGCATTACTGTGTGAGCTGTGTTATTCATAGCAAGGTAGTCGGGAATCGATCTCGGGAAGCTCGGAAGGACCGAACACCCCCACCACAATTTAGACCTGCTGGTGCTGCCCCACGACCTCCACCAAAGCCCATGTAAAGTGGCTTCATAAAGATAGAAGAGAACACCTTGGAATAATAAAATGGGACTTATAGTTTAAAAATAAATAAATAAATAAATAAATAAATAAATAAATAAAAGTCAACCAAAATCATCACTAGAACAACATTTTCCCAACAAAGATTTCAAGCCCAATGTGGAATTTCAAAATAATGAAGTAAGGAATGCTTGTTCGTTCTGCCTACCATGAGAACTTCCCCAGCGATGATTTCGGATGCCCAAAGCTGCTCTCCACCCCTCCGTGGCTCTCCCATTCCACCCAAGCACCATCAAAGCTCCTCTTCCTTCAACCCCTGAAGGAAAGAAACTGACAGCATTGGACACTGCACCAGGTAGCCCTGTAGGGATCACTCACTGCTTGCTGCATCTCTTTAATCTGAGCCTCTGTTTCTATTGTTGAAATGAGTAGATTGGAGAGGATCAGAGCAACAAATTCAAATGTTTAGCAAAGGTTACTTGAGTCACAGAGCAGAGGAGGGGTAAACTAACCAGACATTGGGGAAGATCATTTTAGTGGGTGTGGTGGTTTGAAAGAAAATGGCCCTCAAGGGGTGTGGCACTATTGGGAGGTGCAGCTTTGTTAGAATGCATATGACCCTCTTGGTAGAAGTGTGTCACTGTGGAGACAGACTTTGAGGTCCCATATAGGCTCAAGCCACATTCAGTATCTCAGACCACTTCCTGTTGCCTGCAAGCCACAATGTAGGACACTCAGCTACTTCTCCAGCACCATGTCTTCCTGTATGCCACCGTGCCCCACCATGATGATAACCAACTAAACCTCTTAAAATGTAAGCCACCTCAATTAAATGGTTTCCTGTATAAGAGCTGTTGTGGTCACGGTGTCCCTTCACAACAATAGAAACCCTAACTAAGACAATAAAATTTAGAGCTTTTCTCCACCACTTGAAAGATGTTCAGGTTCAACACTGAAGCCTAGACTGCACTTCAGTGCACTGTTTGGCATGTAAGCCCAATACCAGATCTTCATGTTTTTTCAAAGATTTTATAATGCATGTTTGTGCATGTGTCTGCTTGTGGGGGTACACATCTATGTGTTCGTACTTACTTATGGATGCCAGAAGTCAATCTTAAGCATCATTCCTCAGTCCACTTTAGTTTTTCTTAGGAATTATTATTATTATTATTTTATTGTTACTATTACTTGTATATTCAAATGAGTTGGGGCATATACATGCCATAACATGTATGTTGAAGTCAGAAGACAACATTCAAGAGTTCCGAAGTTGGTCTCTCCTTCCACCATGGGCTCAAACTCAGGTCATCAAACTTGGTAACAAGTACCTTTATCCACTAAGCAATCTCTCTGGTAAGACTTTTTTGTTTGTTTGTTTTTTAGCACCATAACTAATTAAATTTTTAAGACAGAACTGTGAAGGCCAAAGGAAACATATCTAGTGGCCCAAACTGGCCTTCAAACTACCAGTTGACATGTTGTGGGTTAGGGTTTTCTGGTTCTTTAACAATGGAAAAAGAGAATGTACCTTCATGTTCAGGAATTAATCTCCAAATTTTTAAGGGGTTGAGGATGCAGTTCGGTGGTAGAGTACTTGCCTAGTGCAAGTACTCTTAGATCCTAGTAGAATAAAGCATAAAGAGCAGCCAGCAGGAGTTGACTCATCTGGTAAAGATGCTTAACATTCTGAGCCCACATGGTAGAAGGAAAAAAACAACTCCCAAAAGTTCTCTTCTGACCTCCACTTGCACAACATTGTGACATACATATGTGAACATGCATACACAGGTGTACATACACATGTGTGCACACACCCACACAATAAATACATTTTTAAGCTGAAAGAAGAAAGTATGGTATTTTGAGTTCTGGAGCACATCAGAGGTAGAGGTTAGTTTAAAACAATACATTGCTGAGTGTCCTTCAAAGTTCCTCACACAAAAATTTCTGATGCACAGTACTTGAATCTCACTCGTACCTTATAACATAACAGGAGTTGAAACTGTTTAATAATACGGCAAGACTAAAGTAGTAAGCCTCAGAATAAGTGAAGCATTGCTTTCAGTCTTGGTCATATTAAAAAGGATGCCTCAGAGTGATGGCATGTAAAGTCTATATAAACAGATTTTCCTAGTTATGTAGTTATGAGATCTGGGAATAACGCAGTCTCATTTCCTTTAAGTTTGTGGTCATTCACGATGTCTCATCAGCTTCTAGGTGGGCTGGATAGTTAGAGTTCTAAACTCATCTGTTGCCTGTGGTCAGCTGGTGCTTTCGGGAGTCAGGGGCCCCATGCTCAGGACTTCTGTCCATGCAGACTACCTGGTCTGATGAGACGTAGCTGGAGACTTTCTCCACTTCCTCTGGAGCAGGCTTGCCCATGCTTCCGACAAGTGTCAAGTACAGGGGAGAGGAAGAACGGGTACACCAGTGGGCTCATCTGGGTTATACGGTCAGCCCTTGCTTGTATTTGAATTTGTGATCTCTGATCTATGCCAAGAACTTTGAGATCCTGTTGTTGTTTTTTTTTAATTTAAAACAATACAAAGTTATTATCCCTTAGTTTGAAGAGTAGAATTGTGAAAAAGTATCTCATTGGGCTAAACTCAAGGTGTAGACAGGGCTGTATTTGTTTTGAGGGTTCATTGGGGTCATTTGTGTCCTTGCTTTTTCTAGTACCTAAATACTTGCTGTGTTTCCTTCCTTCTTCCCTTTCCTTTCCTTTTCTTGTTACTAATTTTAGGTTATTACAAGAAGCAACAGGTTTCACTTTGACTGCATTCCCTCTTTGACCTGTACATCTGCCCCGCAGGTCTACCACAGGCAAGCTTTGCCTACCAGAATCAGGTGAAGACATAGATGATTTTTAAGACTACAGTGCTTAAGTGCAGTGCACACCACGCCTATCCACACTCTGTGCACTACCATACAGTTCCCAAGCTTTGGGCAAGGGGCTGGAGGTTGAAACATACAACACACACCAACAGAGAGACAGAGACATGGACCTCTGTTCACTGGTAAGAAGCCCCTTTATTCAATAGCACCACAGAGGCTTATGTACCCAAGAGTCAAGTGGGCCAACAGGTGAAAACCTTATCGTCTGATCCTCAAGGCCAAGTCAACACATGCTCGTGAAGCAGAGCTGGTAAACAACTTTGACACAGCCTTTAGTAACTCAAATCAGAAGGAAAGTAAAGATCTCTAGCAGGGAAGAGCAGCTGGAGGCCGGGACTCCAAATGGTCCCAACGCTTAAGAATAATCTATCTTTATTTTTTCTCACATACCACAAACTAGATGATTTAGAATGAGCAAAAAATTGTTATCTTGTGGTTCTGAAATCCAATAGTTCCAAAATTAAAAAAAAAAAACTGGAATAGGCAAGGGACTTTTGCCCTTGACACCTTGAGGTTAAAAGTCAAAGGGGGGTAACTGAAAACAAGAGATGCTCACGGTCTCCGGCCCTTTATCTTCATCATCGTTCATTCAGGAGGATAGAGCGTAACATTTCCCTTTACATACCTCATCCCAGTACCATGGCATTGGGAGATATACCCTAATACCCTAATTATAGCTGAAGGGGTTTTCTCTCTGGATTCCAAATGGGCCTAGGTCTCTATTTTGTTTGGATGCCTTCTCAATTTATCTCCAATAGAACTGTTTCTAAGCTGGTCTTAAGATGTTTAGGTATCACCAAGTGACAACCTCCATCCCCTCCCCCATCCTCTCCCAGCCCTTATATGGCCCTCCTCCTTTATGAGCAGGGACTGTTCCACAGATCAAGTTCTCTGTCTTCTGCTGTTCTGTGGCTTAGACGTCTTAATCATTCTAAGTACCGACCCAGTGGCTTTCAAGTGAAGCCCCCAAGAAGAGCTCATTTACCTTGGATCAGTAGAAGGTCTAAGAGTCTCGCTAAGATCTTGAATTCTGTGATTTCTCATGAAGTCAAGCAGGAAATATTCCTCGAGATTCTCTCCTATCAGAAGCCACTGGATAACGGAAGAAACTAAAGTAGAAATCCTCGCAATAAGCTAACCACTTTCTATCTTGGCAAACATTCAGTTTAACCACATTAATATTTAATGCAATCCATATGCAACTATTTCATGAGTCAATTTCGTACACTTGTGAAATTTGAGTGAAAATATTGCAAAGGATCTTTTTAAGCCTGTAAAGCAATCTGAGTGACTTTGAGTTGACATTGTACGCATCCTTGGCTTGCGCTGCTTGCAAATAATATTCTTGAGAGTCCCTGGGAAAGAGAACAGAAGCGTTAACTCCGTCGCCACTTTGCATGATGTTTAATTCTGTTTTCCAGCTTGTTCAAAACACTCTCTTGGGATAGCTGAGCCATTTTAAAATCTATACTTAACTGGTCATAAGAAGGCAATGACTAGCATATTATGTTTATGGTATATACATCTAAGCATATTTAAATATGCGTATTCATAAAAATAGAGAATTCGCTGGGAATTTAATGGTAAATTCTCAAGCTAGGAATGAACATACAATAAGCTTATCATTTCAGCTCAGCCTGATTGGCATCATTCACAAAGCCCTGTGGGCATCTGACTGCTTTCAAGTTCATAGTTTTGTGAACGGGAGTCCTCGCTTTGTCTAGCCCCCAAACGGAATGCTGAAGATATATGCTTGCTTTGGACACATAGTATCACTTTCCTCACCATATGCTTGCATAGGTTTTGTCTGATGATAAAGGCTGTGCGGAGAATAGCACTTTTCAGAAGTGAGGAAAAAGCACCCATGGATTAAGTGCTTCTGAGAAAGATGTCAGAACTGAAATCTGGAAATTTGGGAATATGGAGTTCAAGCTAGTCACCACTCTCTGGGCACTACAGGCTAGAACATGGAGAAAAGATACCACACCTTTAAAATAATAATAATAATAATAAATGGCCTCAGGGATCTCTGAGTCTGTTAAAGAAATAAACTGAAGAATCTGGACAGAGCTATAATTACACTTAAAACAACAACAAAGCAACGTTGAAATCTGTCTCCTCCTTGACCAA